ATGAGATAGCTGCTTTGGAAAACTGGCTGCTTCTTTTAAATTTTTGAAAAATCATAATTCACTAAACAACTCAGTCTAGGTATTTGCCAAGATACTGGAGAATATGTATTCATGCAAAGACCTAAACATGAATGTTCACAAAAGTTTTGTCCACTATAACCCAAAATGCAAGAAAAGCAGGACGCCGCTGTTGTCCAGCTGCGGAAGAATGGATAAAGGGAATGTGGACGATCATTAGGGGCAACCCTTGTCAACAGTGGAAAAGATGCCAAGAGAACATATAGTGGAGTCCAGAAGCCAGGGAGGGATTTCTTAAGGTGAAAGTGGATATCTAAAATAAGAATAGGAATTAGTTGAGATGATGGGAGAGGGCGATAAAAAAATAAAGAGGATTTCAGGCAGAGTCGGGTCCAAAAACCCTGTGGGAGTAGAAAACATGGCTGGTCCAGAAAAGAAAGGCAGCCCTGCTTAAATGTTGGGGGCTGCTCTGAAAGCAGAGGTCTGTTCGTTCAAATGTGGACATGTAGACACAGCTCTCTCACGGTCAGATTGTCTTTCTCACGGTCAGGTTAACTTTTGTGCTTTAATGTTATTGAAAACGTCAGGTGCTTAGCCTTGGGAAAAATATTTGCCCGACAAACAAGAACAAGGATGGGACTGCTATTTTGAGCAATAGTACATTCCTGCTTAACAGTGTATAAAAGCTTGCTGGAAAATAAACTCGGGGCTGCAGTCTTGAATGGCAGTCCTCCTGACCCCAGCTTTTTGGTGTCTGTCTTTTCTCAGTCCTCACCCCCTCAATCCAGTCCCTGTTGCTCTGCCGGCAGGCTCCGGCACTTGTAGAGCAAGGAGGGAGAAAGGTGATGGTAACCATGGCAGTGACATCATCCCCTGTTACCTTGAGTGAAGGGGTGGAGTCTAGCCTGTCAGTCAGGTCAGAGCCAATGATGCCTCTGTGTGGGCATGGCCTTCTCCTGAGGAGTCTGGGCACTCCTGTCTTTCTCCCTGGAGGCAGACACACACTCTCTGCTTGATATTCTTGTTGAAAAGCCACATGGAGACACAATAATGGAGTCAGAGCCCTGAAGATGGAGGAGCCACGTGGAGACCCAGGCCAGCGCTGAGATGCTTCCTCCACCACTGGATCTACCAGATTTCCCATTCACTGGCCTGTGATCTTCCTGCATTCGGTATCATTGAATGGCTGTGTGAGTCGAAAGAGGAATTTATGGACTAGTATTGGACACATGGGCTAGCATCAGACTTATGGACAATTTTTCCACTACTAACTACAACTGGGCTGGGATGCTTCTTAATATACAATTGCTCTTTGATATAAAGTTCTCTCTTACACAGATACAGTGTCTATGAGTTTGTTTCTCTAGTCTACTCGAACTAACACGGGAGCTAAGGGTAGACGTTAGTAACAGCAATGCTAGGCAAGACTTGTTAGGTCTTGTGGAGGACTTTTATACTTATCCTAAAAGCAATGGTAAAGAGTTACAGTCTCAGAAACCCCCAGGGGCAGTTCTACCCTGTCCTATAGGATCACTATGAGTTGGCCACATGAGTTGGCATCAACTCAATGGCAGTGAGTTTTGAGTGAGTCCTAAAAGCAGTGAAAGATTCCTGAAAGAGATTTGGACAAGAGGATGGCATAATTGATTGACATTTTTAAAAGGATCTCACCAACTACAGTATGGAGTCCCTGTGTGGTCCCAACAGTTCACTGCTAATAGGTTGCAGGTTCAAGTCTACCTAAAGATGCCTCAGAAGAAGAGCCTGGTGATCTACGTCTAGAACCAGCCACTAAGGGCCCTAAGGAGCATAGTTCCTCCAACACAGATGGGGCCACCATGAGTTGGGCTCTTTATGATGGCAATGGGCATGGAGAATTGTCGCCGAGTGAGAGGCTAGTCATGGCCTCTCTCAAAATCCTGGTAGGAGACGTGTGGCCTTCACTGACATGGGATGATGGAGATGAAGTAAGATGGGTGGATTCAGTGAGGGCTTGGGCACATTGGGTTGCATTCTTCGGATTAGATAAAGGACGGTATTAAAATAGACTCCAAGGCTTTGTCTCAGGAGGTAGGGTGGGAAGAGATCCTATTCGTGAAGATAGGGAACATTGGAAGAAGGTCAAATTTGGTGGGAAAGGTCAGAGGTCAGCTCTGGAGATACTGAGTTTGGGGTGCCCGAGGGATCTCTAAATAGCAGTGTCTACTCAGTTGGACCTAACAACACAGCAACGGCTGCCGCTGCTTACCAACAGTCAGTTGGACATATGGACTGAAAGTTCATGGCCACCTAGGCTAGAGATACAAAACTGGGTATTATAAAGCTGGTCAGAAAAGATTCTGTGGCAATAGAAGCACTAGACTAAGGAGAAAGCTTAGGATGAGAACAAGAAAAAACCTAGAAACAAATCTTCTTCTATTGCTAGTTGCCATTGAGTTTATTCCAACCCAGGGTAGCTGAGGGAAACTAGCCCTTAAGGGCTTCAGGACTGAGTTTTTGGAAGCAAATCATCAGGCCTGTTTTCCGAAGTGCCTGTCTATGGTAACTGTCAACCTCTTGGCTGGTAGATGAATGCTTGACTGATTCTTTGCACCACTCGGGAACTCCCAACGTGCACACCATTACTCCGATCCTGAAAGCAGTGTTTCCCAAAGTGGGCATCACCACCCCCAGGTGGTGCTGGGACGATCCAGGGATTATGAATTACAGCGCAAAAGTTTTGATTACCAGAGAGAGGCTGAGTCTTTCCCCGCCCCCCCCCCCAAAAAGGGGGTGGTGAGCCAAATCAGTTTAGGAACCTAGGATTCAAAGGGAAAGGTAAGCCAGAGAAGGGGATTAAGAAGTGACCCGAGAAAAGGAAAGTAACAGGAGGATAGCATTGCAGAGTTCCAGCAAAGAGGCTGTTTCATGAAGTGGGGTAGAGAAAGTATGTTGGATACCCATCGGTTTTTCCACTACTAACTTTAGGAAGAGTGGCTCCTTTGCGGGGTGGAAACCAGGCTGGGACCCAGACGGTACTGAACAAAAGAGTGATTGAGAAATTAAGAAGCGGAGAAAGTGATTCCATGGGAGAAACTTCAAAAACGTGGTGGGAAAATTCTATTACCTTTCAACTCCATCTTTCCATGAACTTTAAATACTAGGTTCAACTTCCTGGATGACATGGATGATGGTAGAAAACGCAATTTAGAGGAGATTATAGATGATCCCACTTATGTGAAAACGTACCCCTTTGGATTTCCTTGTCCTGTGATGTCATAAAATAATAAAGACTGCTTTCTCATTCACCTCCAGAAGTCCAGAGGAGGACTTTGACTTTGACTGAGGCAGCACAGGGGATCCATATAGTGACAGAAGGCCCAAGGTGAAGGAGGAGAAGTGGGCAGAAACGCTAGAAGTGGTTCTACACATCCATACTTGTCTACTAGTACATTTTCATTTGGCAATGACATTTGGAATCCCACGTCTACTTCTATATATTTAAAAAACCACAAAAGCAAATAGCACAAATTAAACAGTTAGGAAGTCGCAGTAGGGCTTCTTCCTTCCTTTCCCTCTCATATGGAACGTGCACGCGTGTGCCGGGAGAAGGAGATGGCCACACAAACAAACAACCTTGTTTTAAGGAACTAGAGGAGCTCCTGGGCTCTGGAGGAGAGTGTAGTCGAAGAGAAAGAACAGTTAACCATCAAGAGACCCTGGACCCTAGGCTTCTGGGGCACAGGAAACAAGGACTCCTAGAGGGAATGTGCTAAGAAACAAACAAGAAAGAGCTGATCTTGCCGAGAAAAAGAATGAAGATTTGGAGAGGGCAACATGTCCTTTTAGAGAGTCTTTTATAGAAGGACTTTGAGAAACTTCCAGGGCTGCTGTGCTCACTGCACCTTCACCTGTCAGGTGTGTGGGGGGTGTGGGGTCGGGGGAGGGGGGACACAGGAGAAAAGAATAAGTGTGGTTCAATTGTCAAGTCCAGTGCCTGGGGGGAGGAGAGAAGGAAGGGGCTGAGCACCCCTACAAAGAGGCGGGCACATCAGATCTCTTGAATCCCTGGCACTTTCCCAAGTAAAATGGCCTGTCAGTACCCTGAAGTCTGAATACTTTAATAAGTGGCTCACACTTTAGGAAGGTGTCCATCCGGCTTGAAAGAAGGGACCACTCTTGGGTCTCAGCTCCGGGTGCTAAGCATTGGCCTGGCTGCCATGTGCCATTCAATCCTCACAGGAATCCTGGTTTCTAAGTATTCCTATTTTCATTTGACTGACCAAACACACCCCCCACCAAAAAAAAACCAAAAAACAGAAGTTCACTTGCAACTATTTAAAAAACTAAAATAAAAGAGAAGTTCAGAAAATCTGCCCTGAGATCATAGAGCACATCAGTGAAGGGACAGGAATTTGAACTCATGCCTGCGAGACACTACATCTCGGGCTATTTCCATCATAACAAGATGCAGACTGGGAGAAATGAATCTGTTTCCACAGAGAGGTCAGAATAAACCTATTGGATGGGAGTGGGGCAGTGGTGGACAGAGAACAGCAAGCATGTCAAGGGGGGAAACCCAAAGCGTTCCCATTCTTTTTGGACAAGGGGTAGAAAGACAAAAGAAACGGTGTATAAAAGAGAGAAGAAGAGACTTGGGAAAGGGGGGGAGGGGGGGGGCCTGAGATTATTATTATTTTTTTAATTCCGAAATTAGGGGCAGGAAACTCTGGGTTTGGAAGTCAGGGTGAAAATATCTAGGGCAGAATGAAGAAGCAAGGGCTCTTGGCTTTGGGTTTGCGAGGAGATAGTGGTCAGTGACTGACCTTCCTCTCTGGTCATGTGACTTGTGTTGGTATAAAAGCTGTCTGTCAGTCAGGTTCCCTACAATTCTCTCCTCTGTGTAATGCGTGGTCGTGGCTACAGTCCTACCTGCCTTCCTAGGAGCTTACAGACATTCCTTCAGGACTAAGCCCACGAAGCCATCTCTCCGGAACCAAGACCAGACAAGGCAGATAGCTTAGAGCCGGAGCTCTGGGAAGTGATGGTGGGACCGGAATCTAAGGGGTAGGTGTTGGGGTTGGGGTGGGGGATCTGGAGGAAGTCTGTTGGAGCGGAAATGGACGGGTCACAGCCAGAGATGCAGAGCCAGGAGCCAGCATAGGAGCAGGGAAACATGGACAAGCAGTGGAAAGGGGCGGGAGATGATAGAGGGTCAAGATCATGTGGGGGGCCTGAGGCCAAGTAGAAACTGAGTCAGCCCATTAAGAAGAGAGCCAGGCCCACCGCCACAGGGCCCAGTTCTGAGCGTTCTCTAAAGTGTTTCGGAGACGAGCCCAGGAGAATAGTGCTGGCTCACCCTCCCTCCGCCTCTGCCCCTTTCTGAAGCTTCCCTTTTCAGCAGAGTCCCAGAGTCAGGGGTAGGACAGCAGTGTTATCAAGATTCGAGATTTGGTGTTCTGCAAAAGGGGGAGGTGCAGGGGTGGAGGTGGGCAGGGAGCAGGAGGCTGGGAGGTGGGGCTGGGGCTCTGGGCACCTCATTCTGGAGAGAAGAGGCAGGGTCCAGAAGGGGGGCCAGTCCCCAGATTCTCCCAGCCCTGGTTCAGCGGAGTCACCCTCCATCTCTGTGTGAAGATGTCCCTCCTACAGGTCTCTACCCCCAGAAGGAGATTCAGTCCAATTAGAAAGGGATAAAGCAGGGACTTCCTGTCCTTGGGAGGGGGGAGGGGAGAGGTTGAAGAAGGCTGGCAGGGAGGGAGGGAGGAAGTTGTGTGTGTGTGTGTGTGTGTGTGTGTGTGTGTGTGTGTGTGTGAGAGAGAGAGAGAGAGAGAGAGAGACAGGGGAGCTTTGGGAAGGTAGAGGTTGGTCTCCCCCAGAAACGCATGATGGCAAACATAATAACTACTGCTTAGTACCCCACTCAAGGAAAAGTCAATAATTGCTCTGGGCAGGTGGTGGGAGTAAACGGTGAGGCACCGCACAGCCTTGACCTGGGAAGGGGGCCCCGCCTGGGAGCAGGAGCCGGCTGGGAGGGCCCCTGACTGTGTTTTCCTAACTCCTCCAGAATGAACTCCCTAGACTTGCACAGCTCCTTGATCTTGGCAGCCTACCTCTTCATCTTCCTCACCGGTCTCCCAGCCAACCTCCTGGCCCTGCGGGCCTTTGTGGGGCGGGTCCGGCAGCCCCACCCGGCGCCGGTCCACATCCTGCTCCTCAGCCTGACGCTGGCAGACCTGCTGCTGCTGCTGCTGCTGCCCTTCAAGATCGTGGAGGCGGCGAACAACTTCTACTGGCCGCTGCCCGAGATCCTCTGCGCGCTCACAGCCTTCGGCTTCTACAGCAGCATCTACTGCAGCACCTGGCTCCTGGCGGGCATCAGCATCGAGCGATACCTGGGGGTGGCCTTCCCCGTGCAGTACAAGCTCTCCCGCCGGCCCCTCTACGGCGTGATCGCCGCGCTGATCGCCTGGGTCATGTCCTTTGGTCACTGCACCATTGTCATCATCGTTCAGTACCTGAACTCGACCACGCCGGCCACCAACGAGAGCACGTTAGTCTGCTACGACAACTTCAGCGAAGGGCAGCGGAGCGTGGTGCTCCCGGTGCGGCTGGAGCTGTGCCTGGTCCTTTTCTTCATCCCCATGGCGGTGACCATCTTCTGCTACTGGCGCTTCGTGTGGATCATGCTCACCCAGCCCCACGTGGGGGCCCAGAGGCGCCGACGAGCCGTGGGGCTGGCCGTGGTGACGCTGCTCAATTTCCTGGTGTGCTTCGGGCCTTACAACGTCTCCCACCTGGTGGGGTATCACACCGGCAAGAGCCCCAAGTGGCGCATGGAAGCCGTGCTCTTCAGCTCCCTCAATGCCACCCTGGACCCCCTGCTCTTCTATTTCTCCTCCTCCGTGGTGCGCAGGACCTTCGGCCACGGGCTGCAGGCGCTGCGCGACCAGGGCTCGGCCCTGTTCCGATGCTGCGGTCGAGAGGCCGCACCGGGGACCAGTGCGGACAGGAGCGTGAACCAAACCGAGGGAGCGGCGAGTTCGGACTTCACCACAGACTCGTGATCACCCCATCCCACCCCACCCCCGGGCCTACGGGGCCTCCCCGGGGGATTTGGGGATTGGTTCTCTACAGGCTGAGCAGGCTGGGAGAGGGCGCAGCACCAGGGTTCTTGGAATCCTTCGACCCACTCCACCACTGGGACTCTGTTGTCAGAACGCTTTGTACAAACCTCTACTCACCAACTTGGGATCTACTCCTGACCGACTGTCCCTCCCCAGTGGGGCCTGGCTCAGCGACTCACGAAGGAATGGCAGGGCATCACAAGCTCCTGCAGATCACGGGTTGGGAGGCAAGGTGGCTAGCTGGGTTCGGTCCTGTGGGGCAAAGTCCTACAACAAGCTAGGTGTTGATGCTGGCCATGAATCAACGGGAAGGAGCTGGGACAGAAAGCCTAACGGAAGTCAAAGACGATCCAGACAGGTCTGAGCAATGGCTTCCTGGCGGGAAGGCCAGGGGCCGAGACGGCTGATGGATGGGGCTTGCACTTTCTCCCTGGGACCTGCGGCTTTGAGCGTGTGCGCCAATTGCTGCACGAGTGTACCTCATCTTCTCTATTAAACGGGGAGCTGGCGGAGGTCTGGGTCTTGTCTTTTTCTTCCAGGGCACCCCACCCTGAGCCAGTCACCCACCATTCCGAGGTTGACACTGACCACCTACCAAGGCCAACTGCCATCCTGTCCCTCCTCCAGGGCAGAGTAGAACTGCTCATCCGGGTTGTCATGACCATGGAATTCTCTGGGGACAGAGCCTCACCTTTCCCTCTTGGAGCCGTTGGTGGGTCTGGACCACCCAGCTTGCTGTTAGCAGCCCAGGGCCTACCTCCCTGTGCCCCCAGGACTCTTTGTAACACTGGGCAGCACAGGAGACAACCGTGATGGGAAGGATTATAAAACTCTGAAGCCAGCTCTCTGTAATTCTTGGATAGTGTTCAGTCTATCACCGGGGCTCAAAATGTTTTACCCCCCCCCCCCTGCCCAGAAACCTTCAGAGTCCCCCCTATCACCCACTAAGTCAACTGGATCAAAAATCCTTCCTGTCATTCCATCACCTGCTGTGTGTCCTCTCGTCTTTGCCAGTCTGGCCTGACTAACAATTCTTCCCAAGAAAGGCCCCTCCCACTGATTGAGTGTACTGGTTCCCCAGCCCCTCCTAGCCTGTGGTTCGCAACCCTGGCTACCCTCAGAACACAGGGAGGCATGGAAAACGTGGAGATTGCCACCTCTGGTTCTCTGGGGGGTGGGGGGACACAGTGGGCTCGTGTCTCCCAAGTGATTGCAATGGGCAGCGGGGATCAGAAATCACTGCCCTAGTTCAGAGGCCTGTCTGTCTAAGAAATTCTCCAGAGAGCCCTTTCTGGTTTATGCTTCTGCCCTCATTTCAAGAGCCCCATCTCCTGCGCACTTACAAAATCCCACCCAATCGAGAGTTCATGTTCCCTCTTGGCTTTCCCCAAAAGAACACGAGGCTGCTGCCAGGCGAGACCTGACTCCAGCGCTGGGACAGCTTGTGGGCAGAGTGGGCCTGGAGCAAGTCACAATTCTCTAGTCTCTATTTCCAAGGCATGCGACTGGGGATAATGAAATACATTTAAAGAAACAGAAAATAAATATAGTTAGTCCAAAAAAATGTTACTGATGGAAATAATTAATTTGGGAGCCAACTGTAATGGGATGAGGGAGGCCTGGTTTGACAGTAAGCGTTAAGACACAAGTCTTGGATTTTTTGGTTGACTGTACTATGAGTTCACGGTGTATTATAGCCACCACCACCACCACCCAAAACAAAGCAAATCTGATTTTGGATGAATTAGCAGAAATGATGATGTCAAAGCAGATTGAGGAGAATCGCACACCATTTAGATCTAACCCCCGCAAAATGGGAATTTTTAATTTCAAAGATATGTTTTTAAAGGTTTTTTTTACAAAACAACCTTATCACCTTCAAAGTATTCTTCATTACACTTAATGCATTTGTCAAATCTGTGATTCTGTTCTTGGGAGCATTTTTCAAACTCATCTGTTTGGATGGCTGACAGCACCTCCCTTGTTTTTTTTCTTCACCTCTTCTGTGTCCTCAAATCGCCGTCCTTTCATGTCCCTCTTCATTCATGAAAACAAAAAGAAGTCAAATGGAGTGAGGTCAGGTGAGTAAGGTACGTGGGGCAAGAGAGGGATGCTGTTTTTTTGCAAAAACTGGTGCATTGAGGTGGCTGTGTGAGCAGGCGCATTGTCATGGTGGCAAAACCAGTCCCCCATCTGCCACAAACCAGTCCCTTTTTGTCGCACACTGTTATGCAATCTTTTCAGAACCTTTAAATAGAAAGCTTGATGAACAGTCTGCCCTGGTGGAACGAACTCCAAATGCTCTATGAGTTGACATTTCATCCTTTCCAGAAGTTGTTGGACATCCAGAACAAGGTTTGTTATAAATTTCATTTTTTTGAAAGGAAAATACCAGCCATACACTTGAGTTTTTCTCATAGCAGGGTCCTTGTAAGTTGTGTTCAAAATCACAAGTTTCTGCAGCATTTTTTTCTGAGCAGGAAAAAAAAATTCACAGCCGCACATTATTCTCTTGAATTGGCCATCACGGAAAACAAGGTTCAAGCGAAACGGCTTTTATGAAAAAATTCACTGAGACCAGAGAGAACCTTCTCAGGTGACGCCACTGGGTGCACTAACTCAGAGTGAGTTAATCGGTGCTTGTCTAGCAGGAAAAATGGGTACTACAAAAGCTCTGCTCTGCCCAGCACAATTCTGGATTTTAGGGGGTACCCCCTCACATTTTAAAGGACGCAAACTCAGGGAATTGAGACAAATTAACCAGAATATTTTGGAGACTAGACACTGCATGATAGAATGATAATAATCACCGCCGCCAACCAAAACCTCACTGTGATCAAGTGAATTCTGACTCCTCGTGACCCTATAGGACAGGGTGGAATTGCCCCTATGGGTTTCTGACACTAACTCTTGACAGGAGTTGAAAGAGAGCCTCATCTTTCTCCCGCAGAGTGGTTGGTGGCTTCAAACTGCTGACCTGGCGGTTAGCAGCCCAACACATGACCGCTACACCACTAGGGCTCCTAATAGAGCTAATCAAATGTCAATGTCAATTATGGATTTGAATCCAGGTTTTCCTGACTCCATGTGGCTGCTTTTTCTTTTTTTTTTTTTTACACAGACACATGAGAAGCAAGCCAGGGAATGCTGGAAGATTTTTATGGGAATTTTGTGGAAAAACAAGAACCGTGATACTTCAACAGTTAAAACCAAACTCACGGCCAGTAAGTCTAGTCCAACACAGAGAAACCCTATAGAGTGTTTCCAGGACTGTGAACCTTTCGGGGTAGACAGCAGGTCCTTCTCCTTCAGTGCAGGTGGTGGTGGTGGGTTTGAACTGCCAAACTAGCTGTTAAGCAGTCCAATGGCTAACCCACAGTGCCACCGGGTCTCCTTTTCCAACAGGTAGGACTGTCTACAATTGAACTGATTGTTATATGTTTACTCAGGAAGAGGCTTCAAAAAGTTCTCAGAAAAATTCCATCATCTTTTAATTTAAGTTTTCCCATGAACTTTTGAACCCCCTAGAGGGTAGTGGGAGCCCTGGTGGCACAGTAGGTTACATGGTGGCTGCCTGCCACAAGATTCATGGTTCAAACCACCAGCGGCCCCACGGGAGAATGATGAGGCTGTCTGCTCCTGTGAACAGTTACAGGCACAGGAACCCATAGGGGCCGTTCTACTGCCCTTCAGATTGCTATGAGTCAGAACTGACTTGATGGCAATGAGTCTGAGTTTTTGTTTTTTGAGGGTTTTTTAAAAGAATGTTCAAGTAGAAAAGTAAACATCCCACCAGGAACTACATATATAACTATAGATGATAGCTAGCTAGCTAGCTAGCTAGCTAGCTAGCTAGATAGATAGATAGAGAGAGAGATTTGGCACAGGATATTTTTACATATATATTATATGAGCTTCAAATATATCTATGTACAAGCAAGTGGCACCGTTATGGAAATTTCTTGGCCATAACCAAATTCCCCATCCTCAAGTTCCTATGAACCACTAGGTCTGGGCTCAGACCATAGCCTCAGGGGATATCATGGTCAATTGATATAACATAGCCCACAAAGAAAATGTCTACATCCTACTATGACGAGTAGTGACTGGGTCTTAAGAGTGAAGGGGTGGAGCTTAGCCTGTGAATCAGGTCTTGATGACCTCATTTGGAGGCGCTAAGGAGATAACTAGCTCACTGGAGGAGGGACACACACTCCTCCCTGTGAGACATTCCTGCTGAGAAGACACAATGAGCTACACTAGAGCCCTGGAGCTGGAGGAGCAATGTGGAGACCCCTGCCAGCGCTGAGGTGCTTCCACTGCCACTGGATCCACAAGACTTTCCACCTATTGGCCTGTGATCTTCCTGCATTTGGCATCATTGCCTGTGTTTCATGAGTCTAAAGAGGAATTTATAGATTGGTATTGGACATATGGGCTAATATTGGACTTATCGACTTATGAACTGGGCTAGGATGTTGTCTCAATGTTCAACTGCTCTGGTATATAAAGCTCTTCCTTATACACATGAATGTCTATGAATGTTGTTTCTCTAGTCTACCCGGACTCACACACCAACCATCGAGATACAACTGTTTGTCTCTCCCTGTCTGGAACAAAAGAGAGTGAAGAAAGTCAAAGATGAGTGGAAACAATTAATCCAAAAGACGAATGGATCATGTGAACCTCAGCCTCCACCACCCTGAGAGCAGAATCAGATGGTGCCTTTCTACCACCACCACCACCACCACCACCACCACGGAATGCTCTGATGGGGGTCACAATAGGAGGTCCTGGGTAGAGGGGGACAAAGATGTGCAACAAAACTCAAAATCACTAAAAAGGCCAGTTCACTAGTCTGATAGAGACTAAAAGAACCCCCAAGACAATGGCCCTTAAGACGAAAAGAAAAAAAATGGGGTGGAGGAGGACTCCATACT